GCAGATGTTAGCAGGAATGAGCGTACATTAAACTCCTCTAAATAGGTAAGCTCTAATTAAAGCACAAGTTTGAACACCTAGAGTGACAGAGCATGCTCTGAACTGCGTGAGAGAAATGCTACATCATCCAGTATTTGTCTGTGTAGCTGCAGATAGGCAAACAGGAACTAGAGAGGGCTAGGGGTCACTAACGGTATGAATTAAGGCAAAATCCAATCAAAACAGCAAACATAAGCAAAGGAAAAAATTATGAACCATTCTAACAAAGAATTATGAAACTACCAGAACAAAATAATTCAGTAAACTGTTGGAATAGGAGGAAAACCCCACCCTGCCATAGAGGAAAAGAGTCAGTGCAGATTTTGTATGGGCTGCAAAATGTCTCTGCCTGTGCAGCACGGCTATGAGATCTGTCTCTGCCTCAGATCCACGCCAAGGGACTAGCAGCAGTGCAAGTTCCATACTTGTATCCAAGAGCTATTAAGGTATTTGCCTAGCTGGGATAAAGCATCCCTTTTTCTTTTTTTAAACTAAAACTCAGGATATTCAGTATTTTTTGCACTCCTTCATCTTAATAATAATTTGGATTCTACATATCATTTTCCTTAACTGTGCAATGCAAATCTCAAACTTTAGAATTAAGTAGAACACTGTCATTTGTGATTTTTTTTAGGTAAATAACATACTGTTATTTCTTACTGAAAATTCTGAGCAAACAGTCTCTGAAATAAGTTCTTCTGAGCCCAACCTTTATTCTGACATGAAACATCAATTGCAAAGGAGTTACTGACCTGTCTGCCTTAATTTTGACCATACATGGCAAATGATTTATGTATTTGTGTATTCATGTCACTTGTCTGTGAGACGTATTAGTCATAGTGCCTTTGACCTATTTTTCACGAACAGTGATTCCTCTTCTACAGAGCATCACGACTCTGCCAGCCCTGTGACTACAAGCTATGAACTGACAAAAATAATGCCGAGCCTTAGGGCTATTTATTTGCAAGGACTGGTTTCCATATTGAGGAAAGAGGGAGAGATAATACACCACAGTTTGCCCAGATGGGTAATAATATGGGTTCATAAATGATTAAAATCCACATGCTGTAAAACTCACCTTCGCTATCTCTCTGCTGATGCATTAAATTAAAATCAATAATAGGAGAAATGAAGTGATATTGCTCTGACAAAAGGAATGACAAAAATAGAATTACATGCTGTGGCAGGTGATCTCACACAATACAGACATAGGAAGTAAAGAGCCTAAATTTACTTGAACAAGAAAAAACAGATTAAAACTGAAAAGAAAAGAATCAGGATTCTTAAAACCTGTCTGAAAAGCAAGACTCTCTCTCAGAAAAACAGAATGTTGTAGCCATTAATTTCTGTTCTTTTAACAGGTATCACCCCTTTTTACATTACAGAGCATTTGCATCAGGAAATGGTGCTTTGCATCAGCTCTGCACTATTTCCCAAAGGACTGCAAATCTGATATTAAACTGCAAGTCACAGGGCTTTTTTATAATTGCAAATGAGAACACATCATGACATGATTGCTTACCTCCATAACTGGCCCCATCAGCTTGCACACTGGTTTGGACTGATGAAGGGGCTGGATCCTTGGGTGCCGGCAGCTGAGGAGTTTCTTCCTGGGTTGGCAGAAATGCTGAGCACAGATCAGTTTCAAGGGCTTGTAGCTTCAACAAAGAATTCTGCAGACAAAAGCAGAACATTGGGCTAGATAGAGAACAACAGAATACAGCGATAGCTCTTCAACTCACTGAGCCCATTAGCAGCGCCTGCAAAGGGGTGTTCCACTAGCAGCTCTGTGGGGATATGCAAGAGAACAAACGTGCACTATTCCACCAGTTTCTTGACTTCTGATTATTTAAGTCCCAATTTACATGGATTATTCATGACACGTGGGAAAGATGACTGCGTCAGCAAAAGACGATTTATTCTAGGAAGCCAAACTGAGATGGTGTCCCTTTTCTTGGTCTTGAAGCAATACACTAAGCAAGTATTTCATTCATTGGGCTGACATCACGATCTGATGACATTATGTCCCTCCCCATTTACCATTCATAAAAAAACAAATCTCCCTCTCCAGCCTATTGTGCAGTATACAGCAGTGAACAAAGAGTTACTGAGAACACACTCCCTCATGGGATTCTTGGAAGAGATATTTTTTAATTGGCTGTTTTAGAGCAACTTCTTTATGTAGACATAGCTTTTATGTAGGCTGCTGCTGCTTCTGCAGGGCAACCAGATCATTTCCTAGCTGTTGCAAAGGTAAAATTAACAGATCATTGTCACTTGCTGCAGATAAATCAATGAGGACAAAGCTAGTTATCTATAACATCACTTCCAGCTACTGTGTCATGCTTGGTCCATTTCTTATTTAAATCTTTAATGCTGCATGCAATATTCAGCTGTACAATCTGACAGAAGCATCTTGCTGTGATGTAAATGCTGTGAAAAGCCCTAATCACCATCTGACTGGGCAAAATGAGTCACTACCAATACCCTAGTATTCAGTTCCCCTCTCACAGGGGAAATATAGCTTGCAACATAAAACAAAACCACACAAGGCTGTCTTAATAATCACACAGCTAGCACGCACAGAATTATACATAAAATGTTAAGTCACTCAAATGGTACGTATTTGTGAAAAAAATTTCTGAGTTGCAACAGAAAGAAAAATCCTCAAGTTTATACCCCAAAAAGCTCCTTTCCCACTCTGTCAAAGACCTGAAACCAATTTATTGATTCATTTAATGAAATAATGAATATTTATTAGAATAATTTCCTTTATGTAACAATATGTCACTTATGTAGTGTGTAGTTTAATATGTCTTTGCATTAATTTTATTGTAATACAGCCCTTTTATAAACCCAAGGATGCCAGGGGTTTTAGATTAAAAAAAAAACCAAACCAACCAACCAACCAAAAACCCCAAACTAATTTGGCTGAGAATAGCAGGGAAGATTTCAGCCTTAAACCTTTCATTTCTTTTATAGAATTCAGGCAGTGAAAAGGGACAACAAAGTAGCTCTTTCTAAGAAATACCTCAAAAAAGGGAAGTTTCAAAAAAGCACAAGATCACTATAACTAAATCCTGCGATCCTGTATGTGCTGTCAGGAGTGCTTCAAAATCCACATCCCATTCCACAAAACAGATTAGGTTACAATCAAACACTTGGACTTTGGCCTCAGCCTAGGTCAAAAAGGAAATACAGGAACACCTCCTTTCTCCTGGTCCCAGGGCGAACAGGAGCTCTGGCCATTCCTATCAGAAGCAGCTTGATATCAGAGATGTGTGAGCAAAGAAATGGCTTGTGTTATACATTTATTTTAGAATTAAGTCACTCTCATCTGTTGTCAAGATACATTTTGACATCTCATCCTATAATTCCAGAAAAGAAGTGACAGCAAGATCAGGCACTAATTCATAATGAAATGCTTAAATGTAATACTATTTTTTAAAAATATGGCATGATACAGAGCTAGTTTCTATGATCTGAGGCAGAAGATACTTCTACTATTCCCAGGTACAGGTTACATTAACTACCTACCATCCTCTGGCCCAGCTGCCATTTGTAAGGGTAATTTACCCATCTCGACCAGCAGTGCCTCATCTTCACACCTCAGCCTCTCCAGGACTCTTGAAGGACTGGCATCCTTTCCTTGTCACTTACTGACACTGTTTGGTCCAATATTTTACATGTATTACTTCAAACTGAGCTGGTTCCTTTGACTTGTCTCCTAGAAAGAGTATACCACGTGTGCCAATGTCCCCACCATGGGCTTTATCAGTGAAGACCAATATAGCGAATTCACTCAGCCTCTCTGTTCACGGCCATATCACCTTAGTGCCTGTTTTACATGTCAGCCAGCCAGCAGTCCCAGTGATACCCTACCTGGCTTCCTGCTTTTGGTGTTTTTAGTAGACTTCTTCATCAATTTGAGCATCTTTTATAAGCCACTTTCAAAGTCTTCTCTAATCCTCTACAGTGCTTTCTTGAATTAGAGACAGAATGATGGAAAACATCTCACCTTCAACAGCTTTCAAGCGGCAGTGAATTTTCCTTGTTAAGAGAAGGGTGCCGACTTGAATGGTACCCATGGTACTGTTTTGGGAATAGTTTTCATGGCATGGCAGGCCTCGTTTTCCACTGCCTCTCACCCCAGCTAGACCCAAATCACAACAGAGGGGCAGAATTTTATAGTCATTAATGTCATCTCGGAAAAGATGACTGTGCCAATTACAAACCAGTGAGGACTCTGATCCCAGCCCTATCAAGAGAACTGCTGATGGCTACCTAGTAAGGAAAACATAGGCAAACATACCAGAAGAACATACCAACAAGGTGAACATAGGCAAATAATTGACAAATATACCTAACCTTCAGACTGTTACTTCAAGCATTTGAGAAAAATATTCCCATATCAAGAAAATACATTGACTTTGCATCACTATTTCTTATGATACATTAATATTTATGGCAAGTTCAGTATAAAAGTATTCACACAGACTACATTGTTAAACATTGTATTTTGGCAATGCTTATGCTATAATTCACCAGCTGGTTTATATTCAGTTGCTCTAAATGATATTTTTCACCCATCTGTGGAAGGTGGGTGGATGGCAAATTTCCAGTCACTGCCAAATACTAAAAAAATTCATATAATAATAATAGTAGAAATACCTTCTATGATTTCATGAATGTGTCCTTGACAGAGATTTGATGTAGGGAGAAAAAGACTAAGTAGCTTTGGTCATTTTGATGTTACCAGGGAGATGATGAATCTGGAGTATGCCATCAACCTCATCTTACTCCTGAAACACAGCTGAGTACTATGGTGCTGCCACAGCACACTATATGAGAAAAGCCACCACATATTTATGGGAACACATGTAAGGAGACATAGCTTTAAGCAAAGGCCAAGCACAAAGCTGCCCAGGGTCACCAAATCATGGGTAACAGGAGCGTCTTAGTAAATGGTAGGGATGACGTTGCTGCCTGCCCTGCTGCATGTCCTGTCCTGCCCCTCTCAGAGGGCTGCTTGAAGTACCAGCAATGCCAGAACAGCCAGGCTGGATCCTGCCAGCCTCAGACCTCCTGCTTTGTGGCAGGAGCAGTGCAGTCCCCTGTTTCTGCAACTACAGCCCAAGCAGAGTTGCTCTGGGAGGGGACACGGACATACTATCAGCAACTGCCAGTGGGTCCTCTATCCTTGGGCTCGCTGGAGGTGGCCAACATGCTACCAACTGCTGGCAAAAGGAAGGCAAGAAGAGAAAATAATAAAGTCTGAGCCTTGTTTTTATCTTCTTAAACCTCCCAAGTTCATCTGAAATCTTACTGACCACTTCCAACTTCCCCCTAATTCTTCAATACTTTCTAATACCAGTTTCCTGTACTGATGTGACTGCAGGTGTCCTGCTACAGTGGTGGGATGTGTACTCTTCTGCGCTGCTCACACTCAGCAATACATCTAATATTGTTGCCTCTTAAGAATAGTATTTTGCAAGTTTGAAAAAGAAGCAACTATAATTGTCTTGGACAAAGGTTTCTTATCTCTTTTTCTGTCTGCCTTAAGTAACTGACAATTCAAAGAACTTGAGCTATGCCAATTCCACTGAAAGAAGAAAAAATATCCCACATTATTCCAGATCAAAGACAATGGAAAAATAAAGACATTTACAGGAAGAAAAGAGAAAGAGAGACAGTGTGGTATTTCTCTCCTATTTGGAATTTCTGCTAATGCTTTAAGAAACCGGAGTCTTTAAAGTATCACTCTTGCCTGCTGGAGAAAACACCGTACAAAAGGATTGTTGTTTGCAGAGCAAGCTCAGCCTGTAGTAAAGAAGCCATCTTGACTAACAAGTAAGCTTGTAGACTGTACCCCACTGACAATCTCTCTTTCCACCCAATGATTACTGAAAATCAAGAGCGGACACCTTAGGGCAAGGAATTATTGAGATGATAGATAACCTCTTACATCTAGAGATAAATACCCCACACCTACATTCACACTGCTAAATCCCTCTGGAGAATGGGACACTGAATGAACAAATACTCCCAATTTATCACCAAAATGTTGTGGCAATGAGTGGGAGTCCCCTAAAATAGCTTATAACCTTTTTCTTGGTAGGTGCCCTCCCTCTTTTCTTAGTAACTCCCTCTCCAGCTGGAGATCCCTGCATGGGGCCCTGCAGGATCAGCGCCATGTGATGGTTTGGTCAGCACGTCCAGGGAGTCGTAGCCTGATGGGACACAACGTGCCAAATGGAGCCTCACAGCCCCGCACTCTCCCTTATTGCGCCAAGAGCTACAGCACTGCCAAACCTGCTAATCAATCAGTGCCCACTGCACATCCACACAGACAGCAGATAGCTAACAATGGCTGAAAGAGAGCCTCTGCTGTTAGAAATAATTTCTTTCCCTGAAAAAGCATGCCTATTATCAGTATCCTTTGTTTTGTCCTTAGGGACATCCTAAGGTCTGGTAAATTTAAGACCTGAGGGAAGAGGGAAAGGGAAAAGGTCTGCCCTACCCATGGACCCCACCTGGTCTCAGCCTGGAGGCTGACAGGGAGAAGGGAGGAGAGGCAAAGTCCAGACTTGGTGCTTCCTGCATAAACTGAAACCATCCTGCCCCGCACATGGTGTTTCTGAATATTAAGGATGCCTGCACCCTGCCTCTGGGCCTGCTTATACCCCTCCAGGACAGGAAGGCAGCTATTTATTACATCCAGTTTATTGATGGATTTACTGGATTTATGAAATCAGATGGGGCAGAGAAGGAGAATAATCCAAGCTTTCAGTATTTAATGGCCTTTGAAGTGATTCATATAGAAAAGAAACTGAGCAAATATCAACCCGTTCAATTTCTTCTCTCTAAGGAAATTAATGCTTTTATACATCACATTAGAACAGTGACATATAAAAGCATCTCCCTTGCTTTTTAATCTGAGAGTTCAAGTTAAAATAAGATACATGTATTTTATGTGAACGCAAATAAATCTCTGCAGTATCTGTTATGACAATATTTGTGTCTTGAGGCATATGACATTTTCAATTCAGAACTTCCTTTATGGGGAACAAGCAAGCCACAGTAAGATAGAACAAGATATGCCCTGGGTCTGTGTAATGCCGTGGGTGAGCAGTGAGGAGAAACACCTCTTTCTCTAATCCAAGAAGGGAATTTATTTTCTTATGAAACATATCCATTTGGGTTTGCAGTAGACCTGAGACACAACAGAATCTAACATTTTGCAAAAAAAAGGACAAGAATGTAACCCTTGCTCATTCCCCATAAATTATTAGCAATTTATTTTAATTTCTGATCTAATTATCTGGTTTAATATCTTATACTGATTTTATTTATTAAAATATTTTATCTTAACCTTTAAAGAATTCTTTGCAAGAATTTTAAATTGAGGGTTTTGAGTGGAATTTTTGGTAATTATTAGCAATGGGGCTTCTCAAAAGAATCAATAACTTGATGATTTCTCCCAAGGTCTTAACTGGCTAGAGAGAGGCTGAGTATATTCCCTTGTATTGGTCACGGAATGTGCCTAACTAGTTATCATTGAGATTTTTCAATAGCAACAACGACACAAATGCACAGGAAATAATTCATTGTAAGGAGAAGACTAAGTCTGAATTCCTTTAAAAGGACACATTGTGGTTTTCCCCTAATGAGAGTCAGGCATCTATTAATAGACATAGATGTTCTCTAGCTCATTACAGAAACAAAGCTGGGGGTTTTTTTCATTTTCTGTTGTTCTGTTGTCTCGGTGTACACTTAAAAACATTGTCTGCTCTTTGTTTAAGTTCAGTATTGTTCACTGCGCTTGCAGTATGTAAGCATACTCCATGCTAGTATGCAGATACCCTCGTTTGCAGGAGATGCTTTATAAGGTTTTCCAGTTTGAATAATTGCAAAGCTTTTTTTTGGCCTCCAGTATATTGCTGATCATGAGAATCTAGCCCAGGCTCATTCATTGTTTGACATGATCACACAAACAGCTTCTTTGTGCTCTACTCTCACGCCATCCTCCTGCCATAATCCCTGTGAAAACAGCTCTTGTTTCAAGTGTCACAGGTGTTATTTGGCTTTTCTTGCTTCCCCTCTTCACTCCAACCCTCCCCTCTTCACTCCAACCCTCCTCTCTTCCCATTTTACAAGAGTACCTTTTAGACTACATTGTACTCTTCATAGTTTATTTATACAGGATGTAGCAACCTTGAGAACTCTTTATTTTTAAACAAAACATAACTGAGAGCCGAACACATTTGAGCTGTAATATGAGGAAAAAATTAAATGTTCTGAAATTATGGCATTTCACTTAGTCAATATTGAATGTTTAATTCTTTCCTGAGCACAAATAGAAAGCAGCATAAAGTTGGATTAAAATATTTTAAAATCTCCTGCTTAGGGCTTTTAAACTGTTATAGCAGTCTCGTGTCACATTTTTAAGCTTTTCTTCAAAAACATGACTAGAATGATTCATTAAAAAGCTAACTGAAGATTCTCAAGTGATTACATTATTCCAAAATGTAAAATTAATGAAAACCAAATACCTAATTCAAAATTTGTAACACTATATTTCAACTTTTGATTAAACTTACCTCATTTAAGCTGTTAAATGGCTCAGTTGCTTCTTTTGGTGAAATGCATGTATTCTGATCTATTCTACAAAACAAAACAAGAATTTTCACTCAATAGATTGCTTACTTGTGCAGCAAATATTTCAAACTTTTCATCATGTCTGTACATAAATTACAAGTTATGGGATAAAGTCGTTTTATTAAAAAAAAATATTTCTATGAAAGTTACATCTGTATTTTTTACCTCATTCAAAACAACAGTGATCTTACTGGAGTCCTAAATAATATATTTAAACTGTGAATGAGGTCCTGGAAACTATGACATTAAAATCCAGGCTCCCTCTGTCACACAGGAAAAAGTCCTACAGAAGCATGATTAGCTCTCAGTATCTTGGTGAGCTAGGGTTAAAGCCAAGAAAAAGCTAAAACATACGTTTAAATCTAAGCACGATTTGTCCCACATGCTTTAGGCCACGAACAAGAGTTTTTCTGTATCAGAGCCATAAAGAATAAATATTTCCATATTTAAACTTGATGGTATTTCAGGCTCCCAATCTTCAACTTTCTGTTTAAGTTCTGTTTTGCACATTTCACAAAGACCCAAGGGACTCTCGTGAGGAGCTGGAAATCCTTTGAGTAAGAGAGATTGCCACATTTTCTCATGAGTGTCACTTTGCAGCCATCAGAGATGTCCATACCTTTGGTTATCCTTCAGTGTATCACTGCTTCTCCACATGGAGATGGGAAGGGAAGGTCCTGCACTGGCAAGGGGAAAATCTCTTCCCTCTGACTATGGCTAATGAGACAACTGTGTCCCATCCAGGCAGATGTGGTTATGGCCTAGGGCTCCACATACCTACCAGCTTACAAACTTGCTCTACCAAGGAATGAAACTGAAGCCTAACAAAAACCTCCTATAGATTAGATGAGCAAACTGAATAGCCTCATACCACAGCTCTGCCCTTCCTCAAAGCAGAGGCCTTCCACACTCCACTTCAAAGCCTGATGGGTCTATCACAAATTGCAACTCAGCTGAAGCAAGAAAACGATTGCTGTCTCAGAGCATGAGAATTCTCATTGCTGAAAAGGTGTCAATGTTTGCTGGCCCCTGCAAGACTCGCTCACAGGCATAATCAAAACTAACACAAAACCCAGATTCCTTTGGACAAAATAATTCATATTTTTCAACCTATTGTGTTCAGTCATCCCAGCAAAACCAAACAGTTTTAAAAGTCTCTGGAGACCTCCAAAACAGTACAGACAGAGGTGCAGACCTTTGATGTCGTTCCTCATAGATTTATGAGGCATTTAGAGACTGAAATGATGGATATGCCGCTTTCCTTACCAACACAGACACATTAGATAGCTACACCAGGGTGAACAACCATTTGCCTCCAAACAGGATCAAAGGTGTGCAATTTGCATAGGAACAAAAATGAGTCATTTTGGTGGTGGTACATCAAGCACCAGAATGAGAGGTCTCACAGGTCAGCCAGCCTGCACCTCCCTCAAGATACACAGGTATACAATCAGAAGTGAGTGATTTCTGGAGATACTTAAGCAGCAAGGTGCCTTGGCTGACTGTTGTACAAGCACCTATCTACATCTCTATGTAGCTCTCCACATACATGTTCTTTCCACCATCTCACCTGAAAATGAATAGCAAATGTCTCCATAATGTGAAGAGAACAAAAGGAAAATGGAATTACAGAAGCAAAAAGGTTAATGCCTAACAACTAATGTTTAGCTTTTAGGCAGCAGAGAGGACAGTATGAGGCAGCAGAAGAGTTAAAGAAACCTGAAAAAAAAAGCATAGGGAGAGCAAAAGGACTA